ACAGCCTGCTCAAATGAAGTGTCAGACAGAGAGCCTTGCAGGCAGTTGTTTTCCACAAGGAAGGTGGAAGCTGTGTTTTCAAAGAGAAATTGGAAGAAAAATATGGTTTTGTTGGCTAAATTAATGCCATGGATCTTTCCTAGTGAGAATGCCTAATAATATTTAGAATGATATCTTAGTTTTATTGAAAAGAGGCTTCAATTGGAACTGAGTCCCAGAGGGAGACCACAGTTTCTGGGGAACGCCAGGGGTTCTGGGCAAAGTTTCATACTTGACCTGAGATCTCAGTTGGTAGCAGCAGTGAAGGGCTCTGGGCTTGAAGCACTCACTCTGGGGGTGGGAAGGCACTGCCCAGGCCTCTGGGCTAGGAGGGAACTTCTCTGAGAGGCCTCTGTGTGCTGCTGAGATCCTGGACCATGCCAAGAGAGGGGTCTTTTAGGGCCTTCTGGGTTGGTTCCTGGTGACAAGTGGCTCTTCCCTTTTGCTGGGCTGGGCTGAGGGTGTGCTAAGCTGAAGGATACGTCTGCAGTCTCAGAGATTATTTTAAATCAAAATAATACCTCCACTTTTGTGAGGCTCTGGCGTCTGCTGCCACAGTTTGCTCTGGACTGAGGGGCAGAGGCCTCCCCCAGCAGGCTGACACTCCTGGTTCCAGGTCCCACCCTCAGGCCTAAAGGACGGCTTCTCAGGAGGTCCAACCCTGCAAAGAAAATCTGCACAGATGCCTCTGTTTTATAACAAATGCTGTTTCTTTGCTGGAAATCCGTCATTTTTCTTCATCTTCTTGACTTTTGGAAGCTCTGGGAGAGAGGGGGAGGCGTGAGTCCCTGCTCTGAGGAGCTGAAATGGGCCTAGTGCAGGTGTTTATTTCCCTTCAGTTCACTTTCAGTGCCTATAGAAGCTTGGGCGGTTTCTTTGCTGGACCCGTTCAGCTAACAAATACTTGCAGTTTTTATGACCCTTAAACAGTTTCAAGAGAACTTTGACCCCCAGCCTTTAAAATTTAAGATTCCCCTGGAGGCCGTTCAAGGTGTGTCTTTGTTCTGGGCCTCCCAGCTTTGTGGCCTTAGCCCAGCACTGCCAGCTGGATGAAACCTACATCTGGTGAACTCGATTTTTTGCAAACAAGTCTTGGGCATTGAATCCCAGAACTGGAGGAATCCTAGAGCTAAGGGGTCAGATGATCTCTCCCTTTACAGAGCAAGAGTCCGGGGTCAGGAGAGGGAAAGTCTGGATGGCAGGTGCATACAGGCTAGAGCTCGGAGCCACGGCTTCCTGTCAGCATGCTGATGGGGGAGCCGATGGGGCACAGTCAGTCCCCTCCAGACATGGAGCCTGTGCAAAAACAGGCCACTGTGTCCGTGACAAGCCTTAGAGCACCACCTCCCCCCAGCAGGCTCTGCCTCCCAGGGAGCAATCTGGAGCCCCTGACCTAAGAGCATGTGGCCTCAATCTCTGCTGGCACTGAGGTTCCTATGCAGAGCAGCCAGCAGGATGTGGTGACAGATCAGCCTCCCGCCCGGGGTCACTGTCCTGCCCCAATGCTAAGGTTCTGCACCCTCCTCCTCGCTTTCCCTCTGTGGCCATTGGTGCCTTAGCCAAAACTGAGAGTGGAAAGAGTTAGCATTAAGGAGCTGGGGAAGGTCTGTGGTCTATTCTAATAGAGGCTGTGAGGGCATAGATAACCCCCAAGCCTTTTCCAGCTGGCTCTGGAACAAGGTCAGGCTCCCATCCTCCAGGCTTGCGCTTCTCTGGATATGCCTTGGGCTTCCTGACCCTGCCTTTGCTGAGCTGTGCCTGCTGATAGGAACGCCCTCCCCACAGCTAGAACCTGTGGGAGCTGGAGTCAGTCTTCTAGGCTCGGCTCAAAGGCTCGGTCCCCCATTAAGTGTTCCTGGATCACCCCCATATAGACCCAGCTTGCTTCCTCCCAGTGCCCAGCACTCAGCTTTTCTAGCCTCCATGGATGTGAGGACGCCTTTCCCTACGCCTGCCTTCCAGGCACTGCACATCTAGAGAGTCTCATCACAGTGTCACAGAAAGGGTACCGGTCCTATTTCACAGATGAAGAAACTGAGGCTCAGAGAGATCTCAACTTGTCAGAAGTTATGGATGGCAGAGCTGGGAGAGCACTCAGGAACCACTTTCAACTCCAGCTGCATGTCTTCTGGCTAGAGTGAGTCTCGAGGTAGGGCCTGTCCCAGGCCCTGGCCAATTCCCTGTAAATGTTTATGAGATGAATGAGTCAGTGGATTAATGAAACAGGAAGTGCCCCTTGTTCTGTGCAAATCTAGAGAAGACCTTGAAAGCTGTTTTTAGATGAAGCAGGGCGCTGTGTTCTGTCACACGCTTTGCTTAGTGCCTGGTGACAGTGAACAGTGACTGTTAGAAGGCAGAGTGGAGAGCCACAGGTCTCTGTCAGTGGCCACCTTCTGGGAGAACCTCAGATAGCCTTTGGCTCAGGGACCCAAAGCTCCCCTGGAAGGGGCAGGACCGAATTAGAGCCCTACAAACAATGTTGGACACAGCTGTCAGCACAGCGTGAGTTCTGTGGTCACTCCAGTCTTGGTAAGTGAGGGTTTACTAGGCATCGAAGGGTTAGCCAGGGAACGTAACCCTCATTTATAAAACAGCTTCCCTGGGAAAAGGGCCTCAGGGAACGCAGGTCACCCCATTTGAGCTGAGCCTGCAGTGACCTCTGCTTTACAAACACAAGCTCATAATTCTCACAAGAACCCTCTGAGCAAGATTCTCTAGCTATCCCAATACACGGGTAAGAAAGCTGAGGCTTGGAGAGGGCTAACCTGCCCTGGGTCAGAGGAGGCCAGAAACCAGGATCCTGTTGTTCCCCAGACGAAACTACCAACTCAGGGCAAACAGGACCTGCTGGGAACTGGGGCTTATTGGAGATGATGAAAGCAGGGCCCTGGGGTTGAAGGGGCTCAGTGTTAAACAAACATTTACCCCCTGGAAGCCTGAGCTTGCTTTCAACATTGTTTGCAGTAGTGAGAAAATAAAATCCCTGCAAGGCCTCTGTCCACAGAGTCCAGAGCAATGGTGGGCAAACTGGAAAATCACCTGAAGGAAGCCTGGTCTCACAGGCTAGTGGCAGGCCCTCTCATTCCACTGCAGCTGGTGGCCTGAGGGGGCTGGCTCTCCCCACACAGGGTTGAGGAGGGATCATGCCCGGCTGGGGTTCAGTGCGGTTACCCCATTTCTGGGCTAAGCACTAGCCCAATCAGGGGGCCAGGGGCAGCAACTGAGGCCTTCAGCAGTCCCTGGAGGGGTTGCGGCCCGTGCGGTGCTACTTGCCTGCCCACAGGTTCTGCCTGGGGAAATTTCAGCGCCTCTGGGCCTTCACCTGGATATCACCTCTGCTTGGGGCCCTGGCTCCTGCTGGGGGTAGGCTGGGTGGGGGGTCTCCAGCTCTCATTTCATGGTCACAATAACCTGCGAGGCCTCAAGGGCCTCCCCCATCCTTCATTTCTCCCATCTCCTCTCCTGCTGCTTTTCTCCTCACTGGCTCCGCCCCAGCCACACTGACCTCCTGGCTATTCCCCAACACGTCAGCCCTGCTCCTAGTCTGGGGCCTTTGCATTGGCTGTTCTCTCTGCCTGGAATATTTTCCTCCCAGATGCTGCTGGCTCCCTCCCTCACTTCCTGTCTCAAATGCCACCTTCTCAATGAGGCTACATAGGTCAACCCCTTTTAAGTTGCTCCCCTCCCAAACCCTTGCCAGCAATTCCCAGATATCCCCTTACCTTGTGCTTTTCCCCCTAGTACTGACGTTCTTATAAACAAGCTACGTACTGTCTGTTCCCCCACTACAAGGAAAGCTCCACGAGAATAGAATGTCTTTTTCCTTGCTGTTTTCCCAATATCTGGGCAACGAATTAAGGAACCTGTGAGTAGGGGTCAAGATCTCCTTTCACAAAGAAACACCTGGCCTCAGGTGGGTAAAGGGCCTTGTTCACAGCCGGTGGTGGGCGGAGCCGGAGTGTGAGCATCGCCCACCATTCCACAATGCTCCCTGCCTCCCCACGTACCCAGAACCAGGAGGCTGCTGGGTGGCCGAGAGCCTTTACTTTGGTGGCTAAAGGTGGGACATCAGTGACTAAAGCTCTGACATTGAAGTCCAGGCGTGTGCCCACGCCCAGCGGCAGGTAAAAATCTAACTTTGCATCAGCTTATCTGGTTTCATTATCAAACGGTTTACAGGATTGCTGCTTTTATTTTTAAATCTTTACTTTGGGGTTCCAAATGTTTTCTTTTTTCTTTATATGAGAACGCGAGAAATTAAGGATAACTACGCAGTTTATGTAAGAATCACATCAACAAGCGGATTTTCCAGAATCGCGTGTGCAGTCACTCCTAGGAATGCACCTGGCCAGGAAAGGCGCGCGGGCTGGCGTGGCCGCGGAGCAAAGCTGCGGGTGGGAGCTGGAGGCGGCGGGGCCCCGGCGTCTTCCCAGCCCCGGCGGAGCTTCTGTCTCGGGTTCGGCGGCTCCCTCGGGCCCACGGCAGCACCGAGGCCACTTTCCAGGGAAGCTCGTGCCCGCGCCGTCGGTGGAGTTCTGGGAGGCGAGGGCCGCCGGCTCGCTCCGCCCCGTCCCGAGTGCAGCCGGACAGCTCGGGTTGGGCACGCCTCCGGCCGGGATAATTTACATCCCCCCGACGGCCGTCGGAGTCCAGGAGGATGGTGCAGGCGCCTCCCGCCGCTGCGGAGCCCGTGGTGCGCAAGAGGGACGGAGAAAGGTGCTGGTGTTTAGTGAGAACCACCCAAGTGTTTTCCAAGCAGCCGGTCATTTAATCTCGCACTCAGCCTGTGTATAAAATCGTAATGTGAGGTAGGCGTTAGTATCCCATTTTTCAGACGGAGAAACTGAGGCTCAGAAGATGTGGCGACAGTCTGGAAGGTGGAGGAGCTGGGTTCGAAGCCAGGTCGCTCCTTCCGCCGAGGGTCCTTGGCCGGGGGTCCTCCTCGCGGCCGGCCAGCTGGCCTAGCGCGGCAACAGCTTGCGGAGGGCCGAGCCGGGCGCAGGCAGGCCGCGCGGAGGCTGGTCGGGGATCATGGCTGCGCTGTGCTCGGCGCGCAGGGCC